GATCTCGGCTCACCGCAACCTCCGCCTCCTGGGTTCAGGCAATTCTCCTGCCTCAGCCTCCTGAGTAGCTGGGATTACAGGCACGCGCCACCATGCCCAGCTGATTTTTTTTTTGTAGTTTTAGTAGAGACGGGGTTTCACCGTGTTGACCAGGATGGTCTCGATCTATTGACCTCGTGACCCACCCGCCTCGGCCTCCCAAAGTGCTGGGATTACAGGCATGAGCCACTGCGCCCGGCCAATTTTAAATTTTCTAAAGCTGCATGTAAAACAGTAAAAAGAAACAGGTGACATCAATTTAATAATATATTATTATATTCAAAATGTTAACTATATATTCAAAGTATTCAATATATTCACAATGTTATTTCAATATTTAGAAATTGAGAAAATTTACATTCTTTGTGATGTGTTCGAAATTGAAATCCGTTATGTGTTTTATACATATGGCACATTTCAAATTCAGACTGTCACATTTCTTTTTTTTTTTTTTTTTTTTTGAGACAGAGTCTCACTCTGTCACCCAGGCTGGAGAGCAGTGGCGTTATCTCGGCTCACTGCAACCTCTGTTTCCTGGTTCAAGTGATTCTCATACCTTAGCCTCCCACGTAGCTGGGATTAGAGGAATGCACCACCACGCCCAGCTAATTTTTGTATTTTTAGTGGAGATGGGTTTTTGCCATGTTGGCCAGGCTGGTCTCAAACTCCTAGTCTCAAGCAATCTGTCCACCTCGGCCTCCCAAAGTACTGGGATTACATATGTGAGCCACTGTGCCTGGCCTCAGACTGTCATATTTCAAGTAGTCAATAATCACATGTGGCTAGTGGCTATCATATTAGGCAGCATATATCTAAACTGTTCTAAACTGTTAGTACTCCTCACTAAAGAGTCCTTCAGATTTAGCCCCTAATGATAAAAATGGGACTTTGCCTCCTGCTAACTAAGGTTCCCATGCACTCAATAAATGCAGATCCTACTCAGAATTATCTGTGACATGGTAGGCTTTGATGGAAAGCCATGTAGAATGACCAACCAGCAGCACAGATGGGAAGCTTCTGGAGGACAGGCACCCAGGCTCATGCTGCTACGCTTCTCTCTACCCCTCCCCATTCCCCAAACCCCTCAATTCTACCTGCCCACCTAACTCCCACCCCTAGCCTGTAGTTGTGGCCTCCAATGATACACTTGATGCTTATTAGTGTCTTATTGTGTATTGAGCACCAAACTTACACCAAGCTCTGGAGATACAGGAGTGAACCCTATAGCTATACAATGTCAGGTAGACATAAATGCTATGAAGACAATTAAACCAGTGCTTCCTGTGTAATAATGAAGGAGGAGGGCATTTCTGTGTTCCAAGACTTCTTGGAATTTCAGATTGTATTTATATAATTTTTTTTGTAGTTTTTGTTTATTCAATCCGTCTTTTAAACAAATATTGCTACATTTTCCCCAGTATATCATTGTTTTACTGTCCTTATAGCACTGTAATTTAGTTGAAAGAATAAAACATTTATATCAAATCTGCTTGTCTTTTAATGTTCAGATGGGTAGTATGTGGCAAGAAGGGTAAGGGGAT